TCTTGTGAACTTTTTTTCCAAAATAGGATTGGACGAAGCCTGCCATTTCACAACGACTCCTCAAACTCACGCCATCTAGAAAGTTGCTAGGATGATTTTTTCTTGTTTGTATCTCCATCTAACAATAAGATGAGAATGCCCATCATAATTACCACAAGCCCTCTCACAGATACGATTGCAGTTTATATTCAAATTATCATTTTGCTAAAATCTTTATTATTTCGACATCATATGTCGCCAAGTAAATTCTTCATGCAGTTAATTTCTTGAATGATCTTAAAGCTTGAAAGGACAGATAATCACCGAATTCTATCACAGCGAAAACATAAATTTGACACTATGTACAATCAACATTAGAATCTGGAATCGGTAAAACAACAACGGTCATTTGAGACTAGGTCTTTGATAGGACGGAAGTATAGGCAATTCACCATACGCACAGACTAAACGCTATTGCGTCCGCCTAAGATAGTAGACGTGTGGGAGAGACAGCAGACGGTTAGAGAAATGAGAGTACGCATCTGCAATGGCACCCTGCCTCTGCGTGCGTTAAATCGCCTGGAGATGATATCACAGCCACATGAAACTAATCAGATAGATAAGGACAAGAATTACGGATCAAACGAGATGAGGATTCATCAAAATCTCACCTTCCAGCAAAAGTATCAAACATCCAATGAGCCTGTATTCGAGTTCATCTCCATTTCTTGATTTTGAACTGTAGGAGGCGTAGTATTAAGAACAGTTGGCAGCTCTTCCGGAAGAGGTTTGTCCTTGGTTTCCGGTATGAATGCTGCTACTACCACTAATTGGATTGTGAGAAATGCAGCAAATGCTGTATAGGGTACAAGGTAGTGCATGGTCCGTGTGTGCACAACCTGAAGTCCACAAAAATTATTTTTTGTCCATTTAAGTGAAGGCATTTTGTTCCAAGCTAATCTTTTAATATCAAAGCGCTAACGTCACCCTTCAAAAGAGCTTGCAGTCATAATTCCATGGATGTTCTGCATCTACACCATTCACATAAATTTGCCGTTAAAACTGACCAATGGAGCTGCCACAGATCCCAGCCTTGCTGCAACGTTGCACACGGCACGTGCCATGTTTCGTACAACTGTTGGGAATAGTTCAGCTGAATGTAGATGCGTAATCTTCCAAGCCGGATCGAGGGCAGCAGAAACCATCAGAGATAAAGCTACGAGGGACCAGTGATTTGCTGATGCTCCGCAAAGTTGGCTGAAGGATTCATTTGAAGGCAGCGGCTCGGCAGAATGACAAATTTGGGATA